GTTTCCTTTCAGATGTACTTACTTTTAACATTTGCCCCAAGGTATTTCTCTGGCTTTAGGCACCTTGAAGGGTCTACTCTACTAATTGTTATGTCTCCTGTACTTAGTGGATCATCTTAGCCTGTTTGTGCTGCTACAGCAAAATACTCCAAACCAGGAAATCTAAAAATAACAACAATGTATTTCTTGCAGTTCTGTAGTTTTGAAAGTCCAAGTCAAGGTGCCAGTAGGATCTGTTGCCTGGTGAAGGGTGCTCTTTGTTTACAAGATGTTGTCTTGTGGATATACCCTTTGAGAGAAAGAGCATTGTATCTTCAGGTGGTGGAGGGCAGAGGGGCATGAGCCCTGGAAGTCATGTGAAGCCTCTTTTAAAGACCTGAGTATGCTTTTCAGTGAAGAGTTCCTATGACCTGTTGACCTCTAAAAGGCCCCACATCTTAATACTATCACATTAACCACACCTGAATTTTGGAGGGGACACATCCTAACCATAACAGAAATAGTCTAAAATGAGCATATTGCTAGGTGAATAATTTAAATTAGATTTTTGAAATAATAACTATGACAAATCACAAAAACTGTTTAGAGAGCTTGCTTACACAACCCACTGTTTTGTTTGATAATTCAGCTAAGTGTAAAGTCAGTGAGTACAGAGCCACATATTCTCAGTTTGAATTCTGACTCTGCCAGCTTTTACCTAGAGAATATTTCCTGACTCCAAAGCAGTTGGCTTAACAAGTCTTTCTTCAAAGATTTCATGAGAATAAATGAAACATAAAATCCAAACAAAAGTGCTAAGCCTGATATTAGCTTCCTTATATTAACTTGCATATTCATCTGTATAATCTAGAAGTGAGCATAAATGTCTAAGTTAGATAAGCTATGTTGAGATAATAAATACTATGTATTAAATGAAAGCAAATAGAAATATAAATAATCTTGATATAGCGAAACACTTTTATTTGTACAATATCTGATCTGAAGAAGTAAAACATAATTTTCTGTATTAAATATAAAATGCTACAATCACATTAGTCAATAAAGATAGCTAACATTTTTAAACCAAATATAAAAACTGAAAATGAATACATGGTAAATACACTCTGTTTGGGGGCTGGGGATGTGGCTCAAGCAGTAACGCACTCGCCTGACATGCGCGGGGCTCTGGGTTTGATCCTCAGCACCACATAAAATTAAAAAAAAAAAATAAAGATGTTGTGTCCACCGAAAACTGAAAAATAAATATTAAAAAAAATTTCCCCCCCTCTCAAAAATATACTGTTTGTAGAGGTTCTGTTTTCTAATTGATGTGATATTAAGAAAATAATTTGATATTTGTTTCAGATCTAAATAAACAAAACCCCTATATTTTGTATTTATTTTAACTAATTTTGTTCTGATAAGAAATGAATTCACAAACATTTAAATTATAAAATACATAAACATAAAAAAATCAGAAACCTTTAGATTATATTAATTATAACTGGCCATTTATTATTTTATATATTTTTCTAGTCTTTTACTTCTGAATTTTATGAGGAATTATGATATAGGGAAGGTCATTATTTTAAAGTAATGTTTTTCTTTATAAAATTCTAATTTTGCAATTTATAGTTTTTCTACACCTTGTCATTCATTTACTTATTTAAGTCTGACATATGAGCTTAAGGTAAACTATCTGGTTTCTGCCACAGTTTGAAAAGGGAACACATAGAATTTTATTTTTGTTTTAAATAATGTTCAAGGTCTAGGACTGATAATAGACAGTGACTTCCACTCTAATAATAAAAGAGTTGAATGGACTAGTTTGTGTGCATGTGGGGTGCACTTTTTGATTGTTCAGTTGGTAATGACCAACTGTATGTGTTTGTTTTTTAAGAAATATTGAATATCTAAGGACTCAATAAACCCAAATGAATTGAGTTTGGAAAGTGACAATGTCTTTCATTTTTGCAAGAAGGGAATGGCTGCTTTTAAGCTTGGTACCACTATAAGGAGTAGAGACATTTCCCATAGCATATGAGGATAAGGAAAAAATAGACCAACTTTAATAAACTACTGAATTTTGCATGGTATTACACACAATATCTGAAGCTCCTAAGCCAAGTGTGCCTTAAACTTCCTAACCATCCACCCTCAGTGAGCATAGTACTTGCAGCAGCAGAACTGAAGTACCCAGGGATGTATAGACTTTCTGAACAGCACATGGCAGGCTGATTTCAATTCAGAACATTTAGCAAAACTACAGTGTTCCTTTTCCAACTTCCTATAAGGCAGATACCATTTTAGATATAAGATAAAAAGGAAATAATATTTGTGTTTGACATTTTTAAATAATATTAAAATTTATTAGAATGTGATCATGATTATTTTATTATAGTGATTTTCTCATTTTCTTTCTTCTTATTTTACTTTTAATTAAGGCAAAGATTGCTGTTTTTATTGGCTGCAATGTGATATTTTGATGCACATGTACCTTATGTATTAATCAAATCATATTCATTATATCATATGTCATTTTTTTTGGGGTGAGACCATTCAAAATCTTCTATATTGTACTGAAATATTAAATAAAACATTGCTAATTATAGTCACCCTACTAGACATTAGAAGACCAGAACATATTCCTCCTCTTAAATTGAAACTTTGTATGGTTGACCAATCCCTTCCTATCCTCCTTGCTTACTGACCCTCCACCATCTCTTTACTTCTGTGAATTTATTTTCATTATATTCTATTTACCAGTGAGTTCATGTGATATTTGCAATTGTGTAACTGGCTTATTTCACTTAACATAATATTCATTCTTTTTGCCAAAAAAGGACAGGAGGATTTCATTCTTTTCTCCAGCTGAGTTTTGCATTTGTATCTTATCCTTGTAGGGTCTTAGCCTCATTTACTCAAAACAATGTCATAGAGAATTTTTTTCTCATTTTATCTTCTGATAGTTTTATCATTTTGCATCCCATACTTACAAATCTAATCTATTTTGAGTGATTTCTTGTATATAATGGGAAACAAGATTCTTGCTTCTTCTGGATGAGGTTATTCAACTATTTCAGCATCATTTATTAAAAAGGTTGTCCTTTATCCATTGAGCATTCTTGGTTGAGGTTTTGCAAATCAGTTGGCAGCAACTGTAAAATTATTTCTTTATTTTATTCTATTTGTCCATCTGTCTATATGTATACCAAAAATATGCCACTTTATCTACTACAGCTTTGTATTATATTTGAGGTCAGACAGTATTAGGCTACTAGCTTTGTTCTTATTGCTTAGGATTATTTAGGATATTCAGAATGTTTTGTGCCTCCCCTAGCCCATGGGGGCAGCTGAATTTAAGGTGGCTCCTGTGAATTTCCAGGGACACCAAGTAAAACACAGACACACACTTTACCTTTAAACAAGCTTCAAGGTGGCTCCTCTCCTCTCAGCCTCAAGCTCCTCAAATGGGAGAGTGAGGGATAATCAGGAGAGGCTGGCAAGAGAGAGCAAGCCCATCCCGAAGTGGGCTTTTATTGGGAGGACCCTCATTCTTAAAAAGTTTCATTCAAAAAGGGTAAGAAGGGGCAGAGTTACAAGGGAAATGTGAGTGTAATTCAACCCAAGGGTTGTAGGGCTATACCTACATTTGAAGACGTGTTCTCCAACTTCAGGGACCAAGCAATGTCCATGTCACTATGAGATGTAGTGAGGGACAAAGCCTCTCTGCTCTGGGATGGAAGATATGAATCATTCATAGTGGCTTCACACACTTTTGAAGTCTCATGTGATTGATAGGATTATTATTTTTCTGTGAAAAAAGAGCATTTTGGTATTTTGATTGATATCCCATTCAATCTGTTGTTGCTTTAAATACTGTGGCTATTTTAACAGTAATAATTCCTTCAATCCATGAGCATGGAACATCTTTCCATGTATTTATGTCTGCTTCAATTTTTTCACCAGTGTTTTATATTCTTTTTTAAATTAACTCCTAAGTATATCATTTTTTGATGACTTTTATAAGTGAGATTGTTTCTTTCATTTATTTTTCAGATGACTTGCTTTTTAGTTTGTAGAAAAGTTAATGATTTTATATGTTGAGTTAGTTTCTTGTAACATTGCTAATTTTTTTTTTTATTGTTTCTAACAGTTTGACTTTATCCTGATTCTGGAAAATGAGCCACCACTTTGTCCTTGTCTCTGAAATAACATCCAGAGGGTCAATAGTTTAATTGTCTTGGAAGAATCTCCCATTCTATGGTAAAAATCTGAAGACTTTGTAAAGTATGAGAAGTTTTTGGTATATTTCTGAGTGTTTCTGAGTTGTTGTTGAACTCTGAAGTTTAAAGTAAAAAGAAAAATGTTAAATATAGATACTTTGAAAATTAGAAAGTTGAGCCTTGATGATTTGTCCTCTTAATATACATGGATGTATACTATGCAATAGTATCTTTTTAAATTTTTTTTTTTTAGTTGGACACAATATCATTATTTATTTATTTTTATGTGGTACTGAGGATCAAACATAGGGCCTTACATGTGCTAGGTGAGTGCTCTGTCACTGAGCCATAACCCCAGCCCCAAATAGTATTTTAATAATGAGAAACTAAGTGACTGCCAATTTGAAAACCATATGTACTTGGGTTTATTTTTATTATTATAAGGGATACAGGATAAAAGAAAAAGAAAAAGAAGGAATGAAAAAAGAAAAATGTAGGCTTAATAAAAGAAAATTTGAGGTAAAATATATTAAATTAAAATTTGATGGATGCCATTTCAGATATTTTCATATATATGCATGTTGTGTGCATATATATATATGCATATTAATATGCATATGCATAAAATCCATATGTATTAGAAAACTATTCTGTTTAACCGGTTTTTATTTTTATTTCCTATTAATATTTTCATCATAACCTGACATCCTAGTACACTTTTAATTCTCATTTTCCAAGTTTTTAATAATAAATGTAATCCTGATTTTTATGATTATATTATACATACACATATATTCCACATATGTCTAACTTCCCTCTGACTCTTATTTTCTCATCTTTTAATGCATTCATATTTTTGAGATTATGCAATAAGCATCTACTTATAATGCTTTAATTATCCATTCCTCCAGTGATAAAAATTCAAGATTGCCTCCAATACTCTTCTAAAAAATTAACTTTGCAATGATCATTCTCTTGAATGCCCTTAAATGAAAATTCCCCAGGAAGATGTATGCCCTTATAAATAGGAATAAGATTTTTGGGTAATGGGTTGTATTTGTCAGAATGGAAGCAGCCTATAATTCTACCCCCAATGTATGTTCCTCAGTTCTCCATCACCAGGAGGCCTTGTCCAGTGTAATATGTTTTGCCATTCTGCTGGAGATAAATAGAAGTCTTTATTGCTTTAATTTGCATTTACTTAACTACAATTGATTGTGAGCATCTATCCATATACTTGTTTATATAATTGCCCTTGTTACATATATTTTTTATTGTAGAAGCTCTTTATTTTCTTCCTTTTGTTTTGTAAGGTTTTCTTGAATGTTATGGTTTTGTAGTGTATGTTAATATATCTATTAGTAATATTCTATTTTTGTTGTCAGTTGACTTGGTACCATTAATATTTATATATTTTTTTACAAATAAAAAATTTTGAGCTTTTTTCCCCCAAATAAAATATAGATTTGAAGATTGAGAACATCTATCTTTTAAGTGTGACATACTATATTATATACAAAATCATAGATATGTTTATAATTATATGTATATTGTTCTATTTATTTGAATTAACTACTCTACCTAGATAAGTTTATTGAACCTGCTCATTTCAAAATTAAAAAAAAAAAGGAATTTTTGGTATAATAACTCTTTGTATCTGCTCTTATTTTTATAAAAAATATAATGAGGGCATGTTTTTTAAGTAACTTTAAAAAACAGTAATAATAAATGATATACTAAGAATTTAAGGCAATATAATTTAAATTCTGGGTATTTTCATTTTTAGGCACTGGAATTATTCTGGATTCTTCCAGAATCTTTGCCTTTACCTCCTTTGCTACAAGAATTATTATGTTACAGACAGAATGTTAAAGATATGCTAAAACCTTAGGAGAAAAATTTCTATTTTTATATTCAGATTAGTTTATCACATAATAAGAAATGCTAGCACTTCGGCATTTTAACGTTTGGTAAAGAAGTCACTAGAATGTGTGTCTTTGTACTTACTGGGAAGCACTACTATGTTAGTTGTCATATTTTTTTAAGGTTCTAGTGACAACAAATTTCTGATTAGGGCACAAGTATTTAAATCAGAAAAAAACAGTATAATTGATTGGACAGTTCATAGTCAATGTTAATAATACTTTCTCATTTCAAGATTTGACAAGAGTAGTCTCTAATTTTAATTTTTAGCTTTTAAATATTATTTTTTCCAGTTGCTTATTTTAAAAAAAGCAACTAGTTTGTATACCATAATACTCTGGCCAGATAGTTTATGTTAACTTATTCACACCATCATTAATGTTTTTCAAAACTTTTTATTGGATACAGAGTAAACAACTTTAGAAAAAAATAGTTTTAAATCACGAAATAGAAGATTATTTATTAAGGGAATATATGATTATTTATTTGGGGAATTGATTTCTACCCCTTAATAATTGATATTTTAATAATGTTCAAAGTGCATAAATAAGTGTTTGAAGGCTCTTTTTATATGATCTTTTTATATGACTTTATAAGCTCATATAAATTTTTGAAATGCTCAAAAAGTAAATAGAGCAATAGAGTTTTGAGAGACCTCTTATAGAAGACTATTTTCAATGTCTATAATGTATTTAAATGGGTATATTGCAGTCAAATGGAACACATTCCATGTGTGTTTTCTTTATAAGAAATCTATTATTAGCCAGTGGATATTTAGCCTTCTCTGATAATGGTCAGAATGGTCCTTGGAAAAAGCCACTTAATCTCAAAGAAATGATATTTATTGGTCTTTGCAGATAATACATAAAGGCATCCCTCACTATAACAGGTATGTTAGCATAATTTCCCTCTGAGCAGAAAGAGTACTTCAATGTGGATATTTAAATCTTACTGAACATCCCTGTTGGTTAAGTACTATGTACACAATCTGTGATGATTTGATTTTATCAGAAGTTTAAATATTGCCTTCAACACCTGAGTTCAGGTAAGTCCTGCAGGTTGTCTTGATGCTATCTAGCAGTGTATGACCCACCTGGAAATTCTACCTGCATAGTGATGCCTCCTGTCCTAAAATATCTGTTTCTAAAAGTGATGCAGCTCAAATAATAACTAACTTAGTTGGAAAACAAACAAACAAACAAATAAAAAACAAGTAAGAGACTCTAGATTGGCTTTCAGTGATAAATAAAACTTTATTGTTTCCTTCATATGCAGAATATGTACATACCAAGAGCTGATTCATATTCTGCCTGTACTATAGGAGAATTTATTAAACTTTAATGTGAAATACCTAATACCATGCCCAAATGTCAGCAATTGCCCTTTTCTATTATGTAATTTACATTATAAAATATCTAATGACATCATTTGAAAAAGGAAAGATAAACATTTATTATGATTTCTCTCATAACATACAACTTGACATTAATGTAGTGTTAGATATTATAAATGTCTCAGCAGTTTTCCTTCTTATCAAAAAACTGCCTCTTTGGCTTCATTTAACTTTCTACCTTAGTTGGTTTTTTGTTTTGTTTGTTGTTTCTTAATTGGAGAAATATTAAAAATGTATGTATTATTATATTTGTCACTATGTTTTATAAACATGAAATAAAAATGTTGAAAATATTACCATAGTAATTTGTATTTTTTTCCTAACAGAGATCACACTGGATATCAGGGACAAATGAATTCCTAGGGCAATAGAACCCAACTTAAATATTTTCCCAAATACATATGTGAAAGACTAACACATGCTGGTTTACTTGAAATTGTACAAATTATGCTTATCAAAATCTTCTGTACATTATTTTTTAAAAAGCTATTTAAAGGGCTGGGGTTGTAGGTCAGTGATAGAGCACTTGCCTAGCATGTATTAGGCACTGGGTTCAGTTCTCAGCACCACATATAAATAAATAAATGACATAAAGCTCCATTAACAACTAAAAAATATTAAATGCTATTTAGAGTTCAATAGAAGTATTTTATCGCTATCATCTTTGGACTAGTAACCCATTTTAAGTGGAAAAGATATAGTATTACAAAGTAATATAATTTTAATTTTAAAAAAACACAAGCAGTCTTACACAATTGACGTGAAAGATCGAATCACTTTACTCTATTTATTCATTCAAGACAAAGTGACATCTCTCCTTGTGCTATTTGCAAGCATAACAGACTCTTCCCCCACCTTTTGAGTTTCTTCTGTGAAGTAATTAGAGAATTTTATAATCTAGGAAAGAATAAAGAGAGTTATACAGTCAGGTGTGCACAAATAGAAGAAAATTTAATATTCTTTAAAGTTTATTGTATTATTATATCAACTTTTCTTATATCTTTGAGATTATAGAAGAAAAAAATATTCCAAACCATAAATAAATTATTTTCTATTTTTTTAAATGATAGCAGAAACTAAATAAAACCACAAAGAAAATTTCTATAAATCTGTAAAAGAGCTGGGCACATTGGCACATGACTGTAATCCCGGAGACTCTGGAGGCTGACACAAGAAGATTGAAAGTTTTTGGTCAGCCTCAGCAACTTACTGAAATCTTGTCTCAAATAAATAAATAAATAAATAAATAGGCCTGGGGATGTAGCTTAGTGGTTGAGAGTAAGCCGGGGTTCAATGGAGGAAGAAGGAAGAGGAGGAGGAGGAGGAGAAAGTTATGAAAAAGATGAATGAAAACATAAAAATCAACATGTTGCAGCAAATCATTAGTAGAAATATGACCTAATTCCATCTTCTACTCCATGCTTCATCTGAGAGAGCTGTAAGAACCTATTTACTTATTTCATATGCCCAGAAAAAAACTAGCAGGCAAATAACTTACATAATGCACTGAAAACAAGGGAATGCTTTCCCAGGGGCACTTATGGCATCCACTGACCATATCCTCAGCACTTTTTACTTTTAATTTTAGACACAGTCTCACTAAGTTATTTAATCCTTATTTAAGGACACACTTAGTTGCTGAGGCTGGCTTTGAACTTGTGATCCTTCTGCTTCATCCTCTTGAGCCAGTAGGATTACAGGTGTGCACCACCACACCAGCTCCC